TTAATTTTTGATTTGTAATATGCATGGCTAAGAACTTAATTTGGACAACTTTAAAGGCGATATTCTCAATATTTTGATTTTTTTGCACCCTCAGATTCCAGATTTTCAAATAGTTGTATCTCGGCCAAATAATTTCCTATCATAACAAACCATACATCAATGGAAAGCTTATTTATTCAGCGTTCAGATGATGTATAAATCTCAATTTCAAAAAATTTCGACAGCATACATCACATATGCTGATTTGAAACCATTTTTTCAAGATTCTTTGATCAATAGATAGTTTGTTGTAACATTTTAAAAATCATTATTGTTACTTATCAATTTAATGCATCCTTGCTAACTACAAGTATAAAAAAAAAAATCTTACTGACCCAAAACCACTGAATGGCAGTATGTACTGGACAGTATTCAATCAGTAGCATGTTAGTAATCTATTCTGATCATCACTGTGGAGTTTAACCTTTAAAGTAATTGAATATTCTTGTTTTCTCTCTCTGTCATGTCATTTCCTGTGAGTCTTTCTCAGATCAGACCTGAACTACTGGAGACCAGCAGCATCCCTCCCCTCAATCAAATCAAAGCAACATGTCTTTTTAATCGTAATCAAAGTCCTTCATCCAGCCCTTTTGGTGCAGTTTGTCCTGAGCATCCTTCATATCCTCCTTTCAGTCTGACAGTGGAGCACATTGACTAGTTAAATAGGCTATTATACCGGTTCTAACGTCATGCCCAGTTTATGAAGTCTACCTACTTAAACAAATACAGGGACGATCAGCAGTTCATCATTTATGATGTCAGATCATTACCTTAATAAATGGAGCTCGGCAGAATTGTGGTTTAAGATGAGTTTAATGTAAAGCAGATGATATTTGTGTGTATATATATTCAGAATATCTATTGGCTGTGGAATTATTGTGACAGATGTATAAACAGGGTTTTTAAGTAATTGTTCTCCTAATTTTTTTATTTATTTTTGTGGACCAAGCCGGTTTTCCTTGTTTTGTTTTAATCTGTAGTGATTTGTTTTTGTTGCTGTATGTTTTAATTTCATTTAACCCATTTTTTAACCTATTTACCAGCTGATCCAAGGTGTAAGTGTGTCTCTTTATAGTGCAGTACTGTACAATCACAGTCGTGTCATCCTGACAATTAATTTATTTGTAACATGCATTATGGACTACAAGTACAGTTCATATTTAAATGCAAAACACAGAGTTTATTATAATCAGCTGATCGAACAGTATCACATTCTTGAAATAAGCTGAAGTTAAAAGTATTGTTGTTTGTTAATCAATCAATATTAATGGTTTCATAGTCATTTCTTCCACAGTTTCCTTGCATGTGCTATTTTAGTCAAGCTATTTTATTTATTTATATAAAAAAGACAGGTATACTGTAGCTGTAGCTCGCCCTCCCTTGGTTGTTTTTGATTGGTTTACAAGATCAGGCTCCGCCATTTTCTTTAGTCAGTGACTGACTGACTGTCTTTGAAAGAACTTGAAGAGGCGACACTAAACCTTTTAGTCTTGACATCTTTCATAAAAGGTTTATTACTAATATAGAAAAGTTTTTTTTCCTGACTATTTTGCCAGATGAGGTGCTCAAGGAGGATATTTTACGTTATGCGCATATTTTATAAATGTATAATTCATTTTCGTCTCACCTCCTTTCCATTTTATTGAAGGATCGATTATAGTACTTACCCTTTTATAACATGTCTTGAGGATAAAGACACATTTATCCAGATATTAGCAATAATACCTCCTTTGACAAACCCTTCCAATCAACATACATGATGTGAGATAGTGACTTTAGAAGTGTATAATCCATTCCCTCTCAGAATGTTGCGTCATTAGGACTTTAATACAAATATACTCTCACTTCCAATCGCTCCTAGTTTTATTGATATGGAATCGGGTAAGGAAGGTGAAATGGGTTGAGTATGGGTTTTTAAATCAGTCTTTTCTTAGTAACGTGATGTGTGTATGGATGTATGTGCGTTTGAAGTTCTCAGTGTTTCTTGTTTTCGTGTGAGGGACACTTGTGTTTCTTTCCGCCAATGCTCAGGACCCATTAATGCACACCTAAATTCACTTTGACAAGAGTTAAATTATTCTTGTAGAATTACATCGAATTCTTTGAAACTCGTAGAAATTCCATTGAATTCTTAAGAGATGAATGCAAGTTTTATGGTGTAGATTGCGCGTGTTAAAACATCTTTACCGTCATGATACAACCATCGATACACCAGAACTGTGTTGGTCCTGAGTCTAATCAAAGTGATGTATGGATGTATGTATTGAATTGTATATAGTATATAAATATATGTAGATGAACACATAAATATATATATATATATATATATATATATATATATATAACTATATAAATATAACTATCCTGCCAGGCTATCAGCACATAAAGCCTTCCATCAACCCAACCAGAGTAATTATATCTAGGGGTTTAGTAATGGCTGGGTGTTATCTGTGGGAAAAGTTACTGGAAGGTGGTGATTAATGGTGGTTTAGGAAATTAAAACTAGATTTGAACTATTGATTTGAACAATCTATAAGGGACCCTTCAGATAACTCCGCCCATCACTGTCACTGGCCCTGCCCCTCATCCCTGGCCGCTCCTCTTTGGCAGGATGGTGTCTAAATATGTTTTCATTCATCGATTGTTGTTGTATTTTTGCTGTGAGCCATAGAAATCTCTCACTTTCAAATTCCGTTCAAAGCTTACACTGTGAACGAAGCCATGACCTTTGAACTTGAGAAAAAGACCCTTTCAGGAGGTTTTGGAGTAGGTTGCCATTCTTCTCTCAAAGCTGGTGTTTGAATGACAGACAGGTGGCTTATAAAAGGGAACTATCCACATGAACTGATCATCCACAATTTGTGTTACCATTATGTGAGGCAGATCATGGTAAACAGGACTTTCTCATAGATTTTTTGTTGTTAGATTTCACGATTTGTTGTCGAAATTAAAACCCAACGATTCTAGAAATACAAAAAAAAAATGTTTTATGAATTTGTTTCACCCCACCCTGTCATGTCATGTTTTTTTTTAACATTTATTTTACTGTGAATTTGTGCCTTTTGTCATCTTATCTTCCAATAAAACTACATTGGAGATGTGAAAAAATAAATAAACTTTTAAAAAGTAGTGTTTTACTGGTTTACACATCTTTAAGTTCTAAAAATACTTATTCAATATTGTTTTTTCAGTAAATTTGTGCTCCATTTTCTTCTTTGATCAAACACGTTTTTCAGTTGTATGCTTAAAGGGATAGTTACTCACCCTCATGTCGTTTCAAACACACAAGACCTTCGTCCATCTTCGGAACACAAATTAAGATATTTTTGATGAAATCCGAGAACCCTGCATAGACAGCAACGCAACCGACACGTTCAAGGCCCAGAAAGGTAGTAAAGACATCGTTAAAATAGTTCGTGACATCAGTGGTTCAACCTTAATGTTCTGAAACAAAAAACAAACAAACAAAAAAAAAAACTTTACTGTCATCAACACACTGAAGACTGGCACGAAAGAGAATAAAATGTAGAATAAAGTAGTTTTTTTTAACTTTCTGGGATCGTGGTAATTGTGTTGCTATCTAAGCAGGGTCAAAAAGCTCTTGGATTTCATCAAAAATATCTTAATTTGTGTTCTGAAGATGAACGCAGATCTTGCGGGTTTGCAACGACATGAGTGTGAGTAATTAATGATAGAATTATCATTTTTGGGTGAACTAGGCCTATCCCTTTAACATCAGAGTTGTTCTAGAGGGCAGCGCATTGACACGTTAAGCTATGGTGCTCATGACAGTGACATATGTTTGAGTCTGGCTTGCGACATTTTCAGACCTCCCCTCTTTTCTCCATTTATTGTTTTCTCTATGCAAATAAAACCCCTTTCTTCAAGTCAAGTCAAATCAAGTTGAGCTTTATTGTCATTCTGCTGCATGTGGGGACATACAGTGGAACGAAATGTCGTGCCTCACAGGACCACGGTGTTACATAAATACAGGCATACAACAATGAAGTAAAACAGTAAAAACCTATACAGTAAAGCAGTAAAAACCTATACACAACTAACCTATTGACTGATTTTGATTATAAATATACTATATATATATATATATAAATGTTTACCTATACATAAGTTAAAAAAATACAGACTATACGGATGCTTCACATAAACACTGTACCTATACACAGCTAACCTACTGACAGATTTGACTATGAATATACTATATATAAATGTTTACCTATGCATAAATTAAAAAAATAAAAAAAAGAGAAAAAAAAGAAATAAATAAAAATAAAATACAGACTATACGGATGCTTCACATAATACTGTACATGTGCAAAGAGAAACATCGTAAGTCAAGCAGCTGGCTGGGGAACAGTGCAGATGATTTGTAGTGCATGAGCATGTAAACACACCTATTACAGAGTCTTTTGTGGGATTATGTACACAAAGCAGTGTGTGAGAAAAGTGTCTAGTGCGCATAGAGGAGAGTGTGTTTCTACAGGTGGTTTGTGCAGGCCCTGTAACACACTTCGAATTGTTTCAGACAGTTTTTTGTGATGTGGTAAGGTTGGTGAGATCGTCCATGTTTCAGGAGGTAGGGGGTTGTGTGGGGTTTCAGAGGAGGGCGGGGTGATTTTAGTTCAAATTAGTTCTTCATCTAATTTCCACAGTAAACATGTCCTTACTTTAAGCTAACCCATTCAATCCCACACAGGACAAACACACATAAACAAGCACAAATCATCAAGAAAAAGGATCACTGCAAACCCTCCCTTCATTAAATGAAACTTTCAGCCTAATCAGGATTTGAAGAGATGAAGCCAGATTAAACTAACCCCTTCTCATGAGGCCTTCAGAAAGGGGAATGTGTTTGATTCAGGCATTTGGATTTCATTTTCACAGTTGCAGTTGTTTGTTTAATTGTTTATTACATGTATGTATTAATTATACTCAGTAGCAATTATAAAAACAAACAGTAAGGTAAATCGATTCGTTCAGCTCTGAGATGATTAAAGAAAGCAATGGACCATGGTATTTTTGGATGGTGAAATTTACCCTTAATCTCTGGTCCTAGATCATTTAGATCAACTTTGATAGGCTGGCATGTTTATGACAAAGAAATGTTTATAGTCAAGATTATTCTTTATACTGACAAAAAGACATTATGGGTCCCTTACTAAAATCACTGCATCTGCATAAACCACATTATTGCCATTATGATATAGTGACCAAAAACAAGTTAATGGATTTTAAAAATCAAGTTTTTAATGAACAGAGAACTCTCTGTTTCATGCCCTAATCAAAAAGGATTGCGACATATAACAAATCGTTTAGACACAGTCAAGTCTTTCATAACTTAGCTAAAGCTTTCAGGCGTTTATGTGATGAAAGTACTGCGGCTTTAGGAGGTTTCTGAGGATTGGCCGGACAGTGAGGAAGTAAAGGGGTGTAAACACAAACCCCAAACTCTCACACTGTCCTCCTACCTGTTAAGTACGGAATAGATATTCAAGACACCTGCAGAGTCTCCACAAGACCGAGGCTGAAAGGTAAGATTGTTTTTCTTTGCGCGAGGATGACTGAGATTATTTGCGTTGTCTTATTCTTCAGATTTAGTAAGGAGTTTGATTAGATGATTCTTTAATTATGCAGTAGCATAAATTTAATTTTGCTTTCGCGTAGCTTTAGAGGAGCTTAGTTTTCGTAATGTTTTAACCTGAAAATCTCTAAATATTTGAAGTTTATTCGATGGCTGTTTGAATATAGCCCACTTTTTCATATTTGAACGCTGTATGACAAACAGCACTCGTTACATAAAACAAGAGAGAAATTAGATTAGACTGTTATGCTTTTTGTAAAAACGTTTATACATTTACTACCCCCGTTTTGAGCTTGTCTTTAAGTCAAAACAAAAGTCTTTTTACTATCAAACAACATAAAAGTTATAGCTAGTCATAGTCACTTTCGCCCTTATCCATAGCAACAGAGCGTTTTCAGTGAACATTACATCACTGATCCATATTATAATAATCAGTCAACCTCCAGATTTTTATTTCATCATTTTTAAAAGCTTTTCAGCTCAAAATGAGACAGGATTAACTCTTTTAGATTAGATTAATGTTTGAATTACCATGCATGCTTGTTTACATGATTTTTTTTTGTGCACAGGTCTGAGAATGAGCGCCCAAAATGTTGGATCCAGGGATGGACATCAGGCTTTCAGGTAACATCATCCTTAATCAATGAAATGAACCCCTCTTCACTTCAAAATAACAAGGATGACAAGAGTGAGGTGAAAGAAATGGGACTCAGAGAACTTTCCTTCATGGAGTTCCATGTGTTCAGTTTGATTTATTGTCCAGCATTACTGACTTTCTTCTTGCACGGAACCAAATTGTGAATGCTGGTGTTTCTCTCAAAAGTTTTACAATTTGTCACAAGACCAGCTGCTTGTCTTTATGTGGCTGCTCTTTTTCTTTCTCTCTACTGCTGAATGCTTCCTAAGAATTTGCATGTGACTGTATTATTTAGCAACAGGGTGGAAAGGTAATTAGCCTGCATTTCAGAATTATTGTTATCTTAGACTAATTTATTAGTATTTGTTTAATTAGTAAAATTTTTCTTGTTTAAAAGAAAAAAGCAGCACAAATTGGCAAAAAATTATGATAAGAAATTATCAACTCAGATATAGTTACATTTGACTCCAAGGTAGTAAAATTGAACTCTCTCAGAGTTAACTTAATGCAAGTTTGTTTTCAAAGTTTGGCATTATGCTCTCACATCTTTAGAAAAATTATTTACCTTATTTGATTGATTGATTGTAGAGTCCAAGAAATATTCAAAGTATTGAAGCCAATTCTTACATAAAGCAGATTAGCATCGGTCAACATTTACTTGCGTCGCTCAAGACCTGCAACAATACATGCAGTGATTTGGAGATCAGGCCTGTTAGTGATTTTTGCATTTTGTATTCCTGGCCTCATTCACGTGGCTCTGTA